CTAGTACTTTCCCAGAAGCACCAGGAGGATGCTGTGTAATGAACACAGAAGTCACCATGAAGTAGGGCCTGGGGGTGGAAGCATCGCTCATCAGCAGCCACAGGGGCCCTCCCATGGCATCCATGGCATCCAGGGCAGGAACATTTTCTTTCTCTTCCTCATCTTCACTGTGAGTCTCCAGAGCAAAAGGAATTCGGATCAAGGAGGTCCAATATGGAGGCCCGCCTCTGCACATCTCTAGACTCATAGGAGACCAATTTGTAATGGGGGAGTAGCCATCTATATGAGGACTTCTGCTACATGGGTTAGCAATTCCTTTAGAATTTATTCCAGATGAGGCATCAGAAGAGGGCAAAGTAAACTGCCTTTGTTCTGAGAGTGGTGTCTTTCTTATCTGAAGTGCTACTGGTAAGAAAGTGGGTGAAGAAATAGTTGAAGGACTCTTTATGCTCCCCAAACTGTACTTTTTTGCACTACCTTGAATAGAACTAGAAGAAAACTGCCCCAAGTCTGGGGTCTGCAGAGGTCCCAGGAGATAAACCTATTGAATTAAACACCTCAGGCGAGGCCTGGGCAGTGCCATGAGGACTTTGGAGTGAAGCTGACAGTAGGGAGTCAGAGATACTTTCATTCCCATTTAAAAAGAGCTTTCTTCAGAGCGATGAGGAACTGAGGTTTCCAGGAGACTGATCGGCAAATTCATTAGCTCTAAAATAGTCACCTAATACACTTTCTAAATTAAAATCCACAGGAAGACAGCAATGTCTTACAAGCAGCATTGCTTTTCTCAGGATGAATGGCCAGCTTCTGTCAGCTGGAGAGTCACTATTTTTGTTATCACATTTACTGGGATGATACTCTGAAAGCTGTTTATCTGCATGATCAGTCCAAGAAGAGGGTACAATGATATCGTCAGTGAAAAACTCGTCAATGGCTTTTTGTCTTTTGTCTTCCACATCTTTATTCAAGAATGACTTAAGTATGAGGCCTGACGATGAATCTCTTCTGGGTCTATTTCTACAGGATTTATTACAGCTAGTTGATCAATAAACCATCTAAATTCTCCTGGAGTTGGCAGTTTCACAGATTTACAGATTTACAAACAGAAGGACTAGCAACAGTTTGTTCATGGAGATTAGAATAATCACTTGGGCTTTCAAAAGGATTTAAAACAGGGATCCTTCCTGGAGTTTCCGGTGTTACCTGCATTTTTAATTCTTTGACATCTTTTGTAGAAAGCAAGCTACAGGGGCCGGAGAAATAGCTCAGTGGAATAAGTGCTTCCCTGGCAAGCACAATAGCCTGAGTTCAATCCCCGGTTCCACCAAAAAAAAGAAAGAAAGAAAGAAAACAAGCTACAGGTGTGTGTTTAAAGGAGGCCCTCAGCTCCAAATCCGGGGCACTCCTGGGGGATCCAGCCCCCTCCTATATACTTTTAGTCATCTCTAGATTACTAGTATTACCTAAGAAAATAAAAATGCTAGGTGAATAGTGATTATAATGGCTTGTCTAGGGAATAATGGCCCAAAACAAAGTTTGTACAGTGCAGTACAGTATTGTAGTTATTTTGGTGCAGGGCTAGAACCCAAAGCCCCACACAAGATAAGTATATATACTCTAGCCTTATTCTCAGCCCTTTTTATTATTTTTACTATGCAGTCATTGAATTCACAGCTGAAGAATGCAGAGATACATACGACCAATTGAACACTGTGGAGTCTAGGAGACTTGGGTCCATCATCTAAGTTTAATACTTGCAAGAAGTCTAACCCTGCCAGGTGTAATGGCGCACACCTGTAATCCCACTACTCAAGAGGCTGAGGCAGGAGGACTGCTGTGAGTTTAAGGCCAGCCTGGGCTACAAAGTGAGTTCAAAGCCAGTCTGAACTACATAGTGAAGCCCTTTCATATAACCTACACACACACACTCCTACATACTTTAAACAAAAATAAAAACACAAGCAAACAAAAAAATGTCTAATCTAGGAAGCACTATTTTGTCTCTTTGAGACTGTTTTCTCATCAGTAAAGAAAAAAATTATCAATACTGTTCCTGAAATTGTCCTAAACACTAAGCAGGAACATACAGAGTAGCAAAAGTAAAGCAAACAATAATTAATATTTTTAGTATTAACCCCTGATCTGGGTTAATATTATTATTACGATTATATGATTATTGTTTAACCATAAACAACAGTGATTGTGAGTCTAGGAATGTAGCTGAGGGCCAGGGATGTAGCTCAGCAGCACAGTGCCTGCCTGGCAATCATGAGGCCCTGAGTTCAATTCCCAGGACCTAAAAAAAAAAAATCACAGTTTACAGAATAAAAGTTATAGCAGTGAATTCTATTAAATAGGAATATATTAACATTTGTCTCTCAGGAAATGGATGACACAATTACAAAGAAAAGTAATAAAATCATGGATACATCCAGATGATATACCATACACATCCACAGGCATACACACACAGGCACACCAACCTGGCCCAGGACACAAGAGCCCTTTTTAATTAACTCTGCATCCCAAGGCCTGGCACAATGATTAGACTAGCTTTGGTGACAACTAGAATCACTTGGGGAGCTTAATGACAATGCAAATTCCCAAGCTATACTTCCCCAAATGTATATTCATTCATTCATTCATTCATTCTCTCCCCTGCCACTTGCTCACTCGCCTGACCACTCACTCGCTCTCTTGCTCTCGCTCTCGCTCTCTCTCTCTCTCTCTCTCTCTCTCTCTCTCACACACACACACACACACACTCCCTCTTTTTCTCATGTGCACATACATACATCCTCAATCAGAAGATGGAGAATGGGATATTAAATCTGCACCATTAATTTATAAGCCTCCAAGCGATTCTGATGCAGCTGGATCATGTTTCCCAAAATGAGGAGCCCTATTCTGACTGAGACCAGGCCTCAAAGTAGGCCTCTATTAAAGCCTAATTGATAATGAAATGTCATAAACACACACTGAAACTCTAATATGTGATAGGCAAAAAATATCTGTATAAAATGCTAAGAAATAAAAAATAAAATAAAAGGAGAAGCAGACCTTCAGCCCTCAAAGCTCACAAGCCTGATGACAGTGACAGACTTTTACATTCCTGACTATATAGCAGTGTGTAGCTATACACAAACTCATAGGAGCTGGGGATGTATTTCAGTGGTATAGTCCCCGCCTGGCAAGCTTGAGGTCATGAGCTTGATTCCTCATACCAAAAAAAAAAAAAACAAAAACTCATCAAGATAAATCTTTACTGGGCAGGGAGATAGCTTAGTGGTCTAAGTGCCTGCCTGGCAAGCTCAAGCATCTGTGTCTGATCCCTGGTACCACATGCTGTGCCAGCCCTGCACTGTACCAGCCACCAAAACTGGGCATGGTGGTGCATACCTGCAATACCAGCTCCAGGGAGGCTGAAACAGGGAATAACTATGAGACCCAGCTGCGTAGCAAGACCTTGTACCAAAAAACTAAGTAAATAAATAAATAAATCTTTACTGAGCAACTTCTAAATACTTTTGGCATGAGAAATATATCAAGGGGCTGGGGAGATAGCTCAGTAGAATAAGCGCTTGCCTGGCAAGCTCAAGGACCTGAGTTCAATCCCCAGTTCCGCCAAAAAAAAAAAAAAAAAAAAAAGAAATATATCAAGCTGGAGAAATAGAAGAAGCAAAATTTAAAAAGCATAATGTATAGTATATTAGTAAGTATTAGGGAGAAAACCTAAGCAAAGAAGAAAGGCAGTGGGAGCGCCATTTTCAATTTGCAACAGTTTCAAAGAATTTCTCCAGGCTCTATCTGCCGTGCTCACAGTTGTTGAAGTTTCACAGCAGAACAAAGAGATGAAAGGACCAGTGGAGGAATGAGTGACTTTATTCAGTAGGCTGGAGTAGAAGGGTGGACACGGACGGTTTCCTTGCTGGACGAAGGCTAAGCAGGAGTGCACCTCCAGCCTCTGCATGGGCCACAGTACATGAGTTAGCCCTGACTGCACCACAGTGCATTTCCAGCAAGGCCTGAATGCCTATGTCTCACCTCTGCCAAAATCCATGTGTTCTGCTCATGTTATAAACTTACACGATCATGTCAACCCCTCCTGGGTCACATCAATGGCAAGTTTTAGGACTTTTTTATCATAAGAGTACAGGACCACAGTAAAAAATATGAAAAAACCTAAAAACATAAAGATTTTAAATATTCCTACCCCCAATACTACCTCTGTTCACATTTTGGTGTGGTTTTTGCCATTACTGTTTAACCTACCTAAGGGACCAGGATATAGCTCAGTGGCACAGCACCTACCTGGCAAGCACAAGGCCCTGAGTTCGATTCTTGGTACCAAAATAAGAAATCTAAGACCACACTGCAGCCACAAAGTTTTATCTCTTTCTTTCATTGTTATAAAATATGCAGATTTAATTTTTTTGCAAGTTTATTATATATAAAAGTTTTAGTTAATACACATGTATTTTTCTCCTTAAAACAAATTCTACATGAACATCAATTTTGTTATAGAATATTCTTTTCCAATAAGGTACTATACTTGACCAATGATTTTTCCAGGTATTCAGTATTTAGGTTTCTGAATTTTCAAAGTTCTCAACTGAACCAGGCATGGGAGTACATATTTGTAACCCCAGCACTTAAGAGGCTAAGGCAAGAGGACCACCTTGAGTTCAAGACCAGCCTGGGCTTATACAGTAAATTCAAGTCCAGCCTGAAATACATAGACCCTGTCTCAAAAAAAAAAAAGCCTCGATTATCCCAGAAATAACTTTTTGCCATTTCAGTGAGTTCCTCCAGAACACATTCCCAAAAGGAGAAGTAGAAGAAACTAGAAAAATTTTAGGTAAGCAGTCATTGCATAGATGGTCCACAGTTGACCCAAATTCAATCCCTACACCTCCTGGCTGCAGAGGCAGAATACAGAAGCTCACCATTTCTCAGAACCTTTTGGTCTGGACAGTGAGCCGTGATAAAGACATACTTACCTGCTATCAGAATCCGAAGCAATCTCTTTTCTCCCTCCAAAGCGAATCTGGCACTGCACAGAAAAAGAAACTGCTGAGATCAGCTGCAGGGATGGGACTCTAAAGCATTCACACAGTCCACACAGGTCAGAGTCAGGAGTAAGACACAGGGCCAGAAACTCCAGTTGCTGAGTCAGGATGCTCTGTGCCCTGTGTGTGTACACAAGAGTCAAGAAGGTGAACAGTTCAGCCTTTAAACTGCCACTTAAAGGAAACTCTTATCTCTCACTTGTACAGAAGTAAGCCTGTGGGAAAACAGTGCTAACAGGAAAACAAAGCACAGAGCCATCTATAAATTATCTGGGAAATTGCTCATATCCGTCAGCAGCTGACCATACCGCAGCGCTCTTAACAGGCGATAATTAAAATATTCACAAATCCAAGGTGATTCCTTTGTGACAGGACCCCAAAGTAATTATGACTGGCTAGAAAACTGCAATAACATAAATCAAACTTCAAAGAAGTCACCCAATGGTGCTGAATGATAATTTATCCAGAGTAGGTAAAACCAAAACAAAACCTCTCACTTTTTTTTTATTGTGGTAAAAACAGAGATGACATAAAACTTACCATTTTAATTATTTTTGGTTGTAAAAGTCAATTCACATTGTTACACAATCATCACCATTATCAATACTCTCTTTTAAAGTACAGAAGCCTTGCTATAGATAGCAGCTTTGCAAATGCCCACTTATGATCAAAAATACGGATAATGCTAAATGATACACTTATCAAAACTCATGAAACTTTACAAAATTCATGGAATATCTTATTGCTGTTGTCTTGTTTTGTTTTGTTTTTTTGGTCTTGCTATGTAGTTCAGGCTGGTTTTTATCTCACTAAGTAGCCGAGACTGGCCTTGAATTCATGGCAATCTTCCTGCCTCAACCTCCTGAGCATTGGATTATAGTCATGTCTCTCCATGCCCAGCAGTATATTTTATTATATATAAAGTATACATCAATAAAGTTTATATATATATAAACACGTATACACACACATATATATATGTTTTAACTCCTCCCAAAATAATAGCTTCTTCAAGCAGAAGCTCTGAGTAGAATCCCTAATTTATTTCTATTTAACTGCCATATTTAAAGTGGTTAAACCTGCCTCCTCATCTTCTTGCTACATTTTCCACTTCTGAATCAAAGAAAAAAGAAACAAACAACTCGACTCTGGACTGACTACGGACTAGGCAATGGCTGGACCCTCTACCTAAATTTAACAAGTCTAATTTTCTCAGTAGCCCCATGGATATAAGTGATCTGGTTCCAGAAGAGAAAGATGCTCAGGGAGCTAGATGAGTCACTCCAGTGCAAACAGCTGTGAGGTGATAAAGCTGGCACTCAACCCCACCTACAGCTATGGCTGAGCCTCAGGCCTGTGCCCTTCCATCCTACCAAACTGCCTCAAGGGTTGGGCAGATGCTAAATTCTCTGGGCTCACTTCAATACATAACTCATAGCCCGAGTAAATATTTACCTTTCTATATTGTGATTATGTTTTTAACAATTTTATTGTGAAACAAATAGCAATGAGACAGTTTCAAAACCGATCAGTAGGACAGTTTCAGTAATAAATATATTGCACATTGTTGTCTCAGTGGACTGTCATTATATACATACATTTATCAATTACCCTTTCTAAAAAGTGAGCTTTCTGGACTCCAGGTTTGAATCCTGGCTCTGTCACTTGCTATGATGGTTTGGACATAGAATTGTTCCCCCAACAGCTCATATGAAGAGTTGGTCCCCAATAGAGCAATGTTCAAAGGTGGGGCTTTTGGGAAATGAATAGTCTGAGGGCTCTGATCTATCAATGGATTAATCCACTGATGCATTCATAGTTAAATGTACTGTTAGGAGACAGTGGAAATTGTGGCGGGGAGGCCTACTTAGAAGAAGCAGGTCCCTGGGGGAGCATGTCCTAGAAGGGTGTACTTTCTCCTCACCTCTTCCCCTCTCTTTTTCTGTCTGGCCACCAAGACAGGCACACTGTCCTCCACCACACTCTCCAGTCACGTTTCTGTCTCATTGCAGGCCTAAAAGCACTACAGTCAGCTGACCATGGACTGAGACCAGGAGCTAAAATAAACTTTCCTTCAAGATAAGAATTTTGGGGCCAGGGAGACGGCTCAGTGGAATAATCACTTCCCTGGCAAGGACAAGTGCCTGAGTTCCATCCGCAGTTCCACCAAAAAAAAAATAAAAAATAAGTATTTTGTCACAGTGATGGAAAAGTAGCACACTAAGTTATGGCACTTTGAGCTACTTATTGAATCTCTCTAAGCTTCAGTTTCTTCATCTGTAAAATGAAAATAACTGCAAGAAGCCAAGTTTGGCAGCACATACCTGTAATTCCAGCCCTCAGGAGGCTGAGGTAGGAAGATTGCAATGAATTCAAGGGTAGCCCAAGCTATGTAGTAAGATCTTCAAGGGCAGCCTGGAGCTGAGGATATAGCTCAGTGGCACAGCACCTGTCTGGCATGTATGAGGTCCTGAGTTTGAGTCCCAGTACCAAAACAATGTAAAAAGACATACTGAACTGCATAGTAAGGCATTGGCTCAAAAGAAGAGGAAGAGGAGGAGGAGGAGGAGGAGGAGGAGGAGGAGGAGGAAGAGGAGGAAGATTGAAATTGGAATTGGAATTGAAATGCATTGCAGGAAAAATTATATGCAAACCAGGCATGGTGGTGCACACCTATAATCCTAGCACTCAGGATGCTAAGGCAAGAAGATCACCATGAGTTCAAGGCCAGCCTGGACTATAAAATGAGTTCAAGACCAGCCTAGAATACAGAGTGAAATTTTGATTCAAAAAAAAACAAAACAAAAAACACAGGACTGTCCTGCTACAAGGCTGTATATTGT